CGCTTCTTAAGTTCCTTACAACAGGACAGAGCACAGTCAAGTATTCCTTATTTGTTTTATGATTAAGAATCCGTTCAATTCCCCTCGAATCAATATTCAAAACAAATTTTATCTCCAAAGCGAACAACAGTGTCACCGCTGGAGCCGCAGAGCAAAGTTCATATTCGTCTCGGCGAGTCTGTTTTCTTAACTTCTTGTTTTGACATCTACTGCGAGGACCGTGCATCATATGTATCTAATACCGCAGTACAAAATATATGAACTTCATATAATTCATTGTATCTCAATCATATTAAGCTTTAGTCAAACCGTTCGCTTGTGGTTACGTCATGCTCGTTGGCAGCTCAAAACAAAGCCAAAAAGGCTGTCCAACCGCTTGGTTTATTCACTTGACTAATGACACTGAATTTCACGCAGTTGATTGATCAAAATTTTCTTTTTTTTGTTGCAATGATCAAAGGGATTTTTGAGAAAGTATCAATGATATACTGACAGTAGAGTCACTAACGGGACTAACATTCCACATGCAATCTTGACCAAGCATGACGCTTTGGACAAATAAGTTTCAAATTTGAGTTCCCGATATTAATTTTCTATGGGAGACTTGAATCAGAGAACTTACTCGAATTGAAGCTGGTGCTAACAGGATTGAACAAGTGAGTGATACTGATTTTACAATGTCGGCCTCAGTTTATGGGAATTAAAGGGAAAGAGAAGCTCTGAAGCCCATCCACCTGGTTCCTCGGTCATCATGTTTATTTCCCACTTATTTTCCGTTTAGATTGGAGTAGCGGCAGCTTTCGTACCACCAGAGGCCAGTATATTGTACAGTAAATTTTTTACTCCATTTGTCATTATCACTGTCTTTTGTATTAAATGCCATTTTTTTTATGGTATCCTAACGAATCTCCTGCCGTCCTCGAATATGTACCCACTTCAAGTCGATACTGCGCCTGCTCATCACCAATGTTAAGCTTTCCATATTTGGCATATGCTTTACCTCCGTTCCAATCTTCCATGTCTACTCGTAGGGAGCTAGGTCTAACAGCCGTCAGTCTGTGGATCTTGTCGTTTCCTAACCAAAACTCACCAGTCAGCTGACCAAAGCCAGCTTTGTAGTCGTTCCATCCCCGATAGAAGTCTACCGAGCCATCCTGTCTTCTCTGAAACACGGTCCAGCCTCCACCGTCAGTGCTCATGTCACAGTAGACATTGAACTGTCCTTTACCTTCTGGGTCAACAGAGTACACTCCACTCTGAGTATGGCCTGCTTT